CTGAAAAAGACCCTGATGTTGGGAAAGTGTGAAGGCAAGAAGAGAAGGGGATGGCAGAGGATGAGATGGTTGGACAGTGTCATCGAAGCTACCAACATGAATTTGACCCAACTCTGGGAGGCAGGGGAAGACAGGAGGGCCTGGCGTGCTCTGGTCCATGGGGTCATGAAGAGTTGGACACGACTTAACGACTAAACAACAACAAAAAATTATGCAGAAATACTGACCCTTAAAAAGATCCCTTCATTATCATGAGAATATATTTTATATCTTGTTTGTCTTGAGTGAAAGTGTTTTAAATCATATGCGCCTGCCCTGAGCTAAAGTTGTACATTTTTTAAAAAAATCACCTTAGTGTCCTAATGTGCTGCAAGTGAGAAGACATTTCTGCCAGCATAGTAATGTAGGATTCCACCACTTGCTCAAGCACTGCCACTGCACAAGTGATCTTAATGAAGAAGTGCTGCCCTCCAGTTACTAATAGCAGTGCTCATGCAAGTGGGACAATCTGATGTTACCATGTTGGTGGGTTAGACTTTCTGCTCAGTGGAGGTTCAGTGGCCATAGATTTTGGCAAAGAGAAATGTTTAAGTTGCTAATAGTTTAATGGGAATATGTGCTTCTTTAACATTTCTTAGAAAGATTTTGAGTATTGTATTGTTTAAAGGGAAAGCATATACAGTGGTGCCTCACTTAATGATATTAATTGGTTAAAAAAAACATCGCTATGGGAAAACATCGCTAAGCAAAACACCATAGGAATGCATCGAAAACTGGATAATCCGTTCCAATAGGAACGGATTACTGTCCTTAAGCGAAAATCGCCATAGGAAACATCGCTAACGAAACGCGGTTCCCCCATTGGAATGCATTGAATAGGTTTCAATGCATTTCAGTGGTTTTGACAGGGCCGTTTTCGCTATTTTTAAAGTGTCTTAAAATGTTCAAAAACTGTTTAAAATGCTTCGAATCGTTAGTGCACCCTGTAAAACCTTTGCAAACTTAATTTGGCTTTGGTCTGAGTCTGTTAATTTTTGGTGAATTCCCCCCCCCATTGGAATGCATTACTAATGGTTTGACAATTGAATTGTCCATTCAGTCGTACCTGACCCTTGGCGATTTCATGAGCCAGCTCCCTCTATGATTTCCAATCTTGTACAGCTTCTTTCAGGTGCTTTATGTTTTGGCCAGTGTCTGCTTTGATTACATCCAGCCAATGTGTTCTTTGGTAGTCATCCTTGTCTTTTACTATTGAACATTTTGAGCATAAGGTTCTCCAATGATTTTGATCGCATGACATGGCTGAAATAATTAAGTTGAAGTTTTGTTATTTTGTTTTCCAGTGACATGTCCAGTTTTACGCACCTTAACACTTCTTTATTCATTATCTTTGCAGTCCATGGAATGCGCATGAGCCTCCTCCAATACCATAGCTCAAAAGAATAAATTTTCCTTCTGTCCATCTTCTTCGTCATCCAGTTTTCACAGGCATAGTTATGGGGAACACAATGGTGCAAACTAATCTATACTTGGTCATCAAGCTGACATCTTTACTTTTCCATATATGATTCATAATCATCATTGCTGTGTGACCTAGCATGATTCGGCTTTTTATTTCTTGGCTGCAATCCCTGTTTGGATTGATCAATTAACCTAAAAATACTAATTCTTCCACACATTCAACCACCTCTTCACCAATTACTCTTTTGATGTTTAGATTCTTTGCAGTTGTCATTTTTTTTAATATTCAAAAAGAGGCCAAACTCTTCTTTGAGTTTAATGAACAGGTACTTAGACCTTTCTGGGTTTCTGAGAGGAGGCTTATGTCATCTGCATATTGAAGGTTATTGATGTTTCTAACTCCAGCTTTCTGATTATCACTTCAGCATACTAGTTGAATAAGAAAGGAAACAGGATGCAACCTTGCCACACACCTTTCTCAATCTTAAACCAGTAAGTGTCTCAATATTGAGTTTGTACAATGGCTTCCTGATTTTGATACAGTGATTTCACCAATGTAGTAGCACCCCAAGGTCTTCTAGGGCTCTCCATAGTTTGTCATGGTCAACACAGTCAAAAGCTTTCCTATAATCGATGAATCACATTATGTTCTTTTGATCTTCATAACATTTTTCCATTATCCATCGAACATTTGAATGTGATCATGGGTGCCATGATCCTGAGAGAAACCGGCTTGGACATCTGGCAATTCCTTTTCAGTGATTGGTGCCAGGCATTGTATGATTTTCAGTAAGATCTTACTAGTGTGAAAGATGAGAGCAATTGTGTGGTAGTTAAAACAATCCTTTGAATCCTCCTTTTTGTTAACAGAATAAACACTGATTGTTTCCAGTTTTGTGGCCATGTATTGGTTTCCCAAATTTTCTGGCACAAGACTAATGATTTCCATTGGTACTGACCTCAACAATTTGTGAGGACAGGAGCCAGAGTGAGCCGTCCCCTCACGAGCATAACTTAGAACAGACAAGTAAAACTGTGGAGAAAGGAAAGGAAGGAGAAATAAAAGAAACAAAAGAACAAGTTACCGAGATGCGCGAGGAGGAGGAGGAGGAGGAGGAGGAGGAAGACAGCCACACGGAAGTTCTAGGATGGTCTCGAGGAAAGGAAAGACGCGAAGGGGGAGAACCATTAGGGCAGTTGGAGAGGAAGGGAAAAAGAGGAGGGGAGTCAGGCGAAGATCGGGAGAAAGTGGATGTGTTCTTAACAACAGAAGCAGGAGGGTCCTCTAAGAAATGGAGAAAGTGATCGTATACAAAGAGAGAAAAGCAGAGAAAATAGGTGAAAATGTACATGCTTTCTCTGTACCACGAAAGAGAGTGGCTGAGAATATAGAGGACTTAGGAGAGGGAACATCTACCAAAGAATGATTTCGTCCGATCATTCCTGGGTTAAGTCCCCTAGAATGGACCGTCCTGGTTTATCCAAGGAGTCTAGGTCCAGAGCGACCAGTGTATCCAGTGGACCCGAAGATGGTGACCGAGGAGCCATTAGAAGGAGAGTGGGCTCGTCACCTGTGCTGCGGGACATTGTGCGCGGTGCGCAATCGTTGTCTGAGGGAACCGACAAAACAAGTGAAAGAAGCCAAAACATATTATTAAAAAAATGTTGACTATGAAAGTTCTATGTTATGGTTATGGGAGGAATCCCCTCCTCAGTTATCAATATGTTCTCCAAATGAAATAAGTAGAGATGAAGCTGTTGGTGTTAACAATAAAAATTCATTTATTCATAACTCGGAGTCATCTTTTATGGTGCAAGGGGAGGAACAGCCAATAATGAACCCAGAACTTACTCACACAATTTTACAGGGATGTTATCTACCCCTAGAGCTTTAGTATGTGGCATTTGCTTCATTGCCCACATGACCTCTTCATCAAGTATAGCTGGTTCTGGTTCTATTCCCTTCCCTTCTTCAGTTTGATATCGTCCCTCTTTGTTAGTGGCATACATGCCACATATTCTCCATCTATTCTTGACACCTTGTTGGCTGGACAATTATTTCCCTTGCTTATCCTTGATGAGACCTTTGCAAGCCATAAATGGTACTCGGATCTTTGTAATTTGTGCAAATGCGTTCCTAGTGTCCTTTTTTACAGTCTTCCTCTAATTGTTCCTAATGCTTCTCCCAATAAACTTTGCTGCTCTTTGGAAGTCAACATTCAGACTTATCACCTCTTCACAGTTACCCATTGCTTTAGCTGCCTTTCTCCTCTTGGCTACTTGGATGGTACAGTACACTTTTTCCCTACCTTCTTGCGTGGTACATAGTCTGCTGTGTTAATGATGATTGATTGAATTTCTTGCCATAGTATTTCAGGCATATTTTTAGCAGTGTCCAGAATTCCAAACCTATTTATAACTTCAATTGCATATGTGAAGGGAATTTTGGTGACAATGAACTTTTTTGGTGATGGTGTCCTCTTGATGTTACTGAGTTTGACTTTGATGTTGATCACCAGCAGTTCATGGTCTGAACCATGGTCTGCACATAGATAAGTTTAGACTGCTAGAACTGAGCTGGTCCATCATTGATTACATAGGACATAATCAGTTTGATTATGATGTTGTCCATTAGGCGAAGTCCATGTGTATAAGCAACACTTACGCTGTTCATACCATGTATTTGCCAGGAAACTGATTTTCCCGGCAAAACTGCCAATCGATCGCCGGCATCATTTCTTTCTCCTAGCTTAAAGCTTCTAGTCATTTCTGTCTCTCTTTGGGAAACAATTTTTGCATTAAAATCGCCAAGTAAGTAAATAATATCCTTTTTTGGGATTGTCTTCAATAGTAATGTAGAAATCCTTGATTTCTTGCAATGTTGCATCAGTTGGAGCATAAACTTGAACAACGGAAATGTTGATGGGCTTGGCATGAATTCTAATTGTCATTATGCAATCTTTTACTGTGGAGGAGCTTTCCACTGCTTGGGCCATTTATTTGCTTGCAATAAATGCCACTGCGTTCCTATGCATGTTATTGTTACCTGAGTAATAAATGGTAAATTCCTGAGACTACAAAATAACCATTATCTGTCCAATGTAGTAGTTCACTAATGCCAAGGAGGTCAATTTTCAATTTGATCATTTCTTGTTTTACAATGTCCAATTTACCTTGGCTCATTCCTTGACATTCCAAGTTACTATTTGCTGAATTTTCATGCAGCATAGACCCTTGCTTTCACTATTGGTGGCATCAGCATTTGAGATTCCTATAGCAACTTGCAGCTATTTGCTGCTGAGTGTTTATTTTTTATTTATTTATTTATTTAATTAATTTATATGCCGCCCACACTACCCAAAGGTCTCTGTTATGTTATGCTGCTTGATATAGCTAATAAGATTTGACTATTGCTTAAGATTCTGAAAGTAAGAACTGGTGATAAAACTGAAAAAGTGTAAATTTTTTAGTGCTGGGTTTGAAAAATACAGTCATAGCCACATTATCATGGAACTATTATTGCTTTTTTTCCTGTGCAGCTGAGAAACTGTTGATGCTGAAAGAAGCAGAATTGAATGACTTTTTGCAACATGTATGTGAGCTGGTTGACTCCCCAGAGAAGACCACTGGAGTAGCCAGAGTTAAGCTGAATTTGCTTTGCTATCTGTGTACTCTTGTTGCCAATAAGAAAGTAGCAACTAGGTTAATCAGCACAAAATTGGTAAGTTGTACAGCTGGACAAGGGTGAGAAAGACGATGTGTCAGTGAACGTGTAAAAGTCAGCTATGTCTCTTGTGGAGCTTGCATTTTGAGAAATTATAGGGATGGAGTCCTGCACATATCTTCATATGTTGAGGTGAACACCTGAATAGGGCTTCTGTTATGCACCAATTATGAAGTGCATTCTCCACCCAAGGTCTGGTTGGCTTGAACATGCACCGGACTGTGGCTTACTGTTTTGTAGTGTGTTATATTAAATTGTTTTCAGTGATATTACTGTGTCTTGAGATCCATTCATATAGGATATTAGAAATATGTCGATGATGAATAATATACTATAAACATCCTTATAGTTTCTTGTATGTTATAGTATCACTTTGTTCAGGCCTTTCAGCTTCACAAGTAAAAAGTAACATTAGATGTGCTATATAGTTATTCCTTATTCATGAATAAAGCACAATTAATAATTGTATATATTGGTGTGGGTTTTTAAATTCTAGTTCCCTGTGCTAATACAGCAGTTGCGGATTGCTCCAAACTGGGATATGTAAGTAACCATTCTTAACCAGTTACTTTTACAGTGTCTCTTTATATTTAAATTTTGGGAATGTACAGGGTTCCACTGAGTTCTTTCAGAATAACAGTAGTTAGAGCCTCTGCACACATCACAGAACAGGAAAGGAATACAGTGGTGCCTCGCTTAGCTACGTTAATCCGTTCCGAAAAAAAACGTTGGTAAGCAATTTCATTGCCAAGCGAAATTAAAAAGCCCATAGAAACGCATTAAAACGTGATTAGTGCGTTCCTATGGGCTTAAAAACTCACCTTAAAGCGAAAATCCTCCATAGCGCCGCCATTTTCGCTGCCTCTTAAGCGAGGAGAAACAGCGGGCAGCCATTTTGTTTTTCCGGCAGCCATTTTGAAACCGCCGATCAGCTGTATAAAAGGGTCGCTTTGCCTTGATCGCTTCCCCACGATAATTGCAAAGCGAAAAAACCCCATAGGGACCATCGCAAAACGATCGCTTTTGCAATCGCAAAAAGCTAGTTGCTAAGCGATTTTGTCACTCAACGGAGCAATTGCTAAGCGAGGCACCACTGTAGTTACTTTAGTACATTGTCTGAAACCTTTTGCCCATCTGCCTACTTCCCTGTCTTTGAAAAAAATATCTTTGCAAGTGCATGGGGTCAGCTTGCCGAGTTTTAAATGTAGGTTTCATATGTATAAATTCTTAACAGAACACGTAAACATTGCAAAAACAAGCACTGAAAACAAAGAAGACCAAATTTGAAATAGATTGACAGTTTAAGTTTGCAAGAGCTGAGAAGGGCTATTAATGAAAGGACATTTTGAGGGTTACTCATAGGGTGACTGTAAGACAACTTGATAACATGTAACAACAAATATTCCATCATCTGTAGTCTTAAAAGCTACTGTCCTGCAGTATTCTTTAAATTTGTTCTTCCAGATTGAATATAGATACCTTGTACAAATAAGACTCAAACCTATGGCTGATGGTTTTATCAGTGGCTGTAGTAATACAGTGGTGCCTTGACTTATGAACTTAATCCATATTGGAATGATGTTCTGAAGTCAAAACATTCTTAAGTTAAAGCAGCATTTCCCAAAGGAATGCATTGAAACCCAATTAATCCTTCCCGGCTGTTTTTTGTTCTTATGTCAAGGCACGGTTTGTAAGTCGAAGCATTTGTTCCCATAGGAACGAATGCAAAACCGATTAATCTGTCCTCTACCACTAGGGGGAGAATTTTTCTTTCTTTTTTTACCTAAGATGATTTAGGTTTAAAAAAAGCAGGAAAGGAGGGAGACAGAAACACATTTTAAACTCACACATTTTATACCAACACATTTTCAACCAAGCCAGCACAGACCCTTGCAAAAACGTTTCTGATTTGCAAGGGAAGCATGCAGGAACCATTACAAAAGCAAAGAACACAAACGGAGCAGATCAGAAATGCAAAGGGAACAAAGGAAAAAGCATGCAAGACACATTGAAAATGGGAGAAACCCCCCCCAAAAGCAACAAAAACCCCCAAGACCCATCGGAAATGGGGGAAAAAAAAACCAAAAAACCAAATTCCCCAAGACCCGTCAGAAATGGGGAAAAAACACTCCAAAAAGGAACCAAACCTCCATCGGGAACCAAAAAAACAAACACCCCTCCAAGACCCATCACAGCATGGAAACATAACCCCCCAAGCTGAAAATCACGCTGCAAAAATACCCAGAATAGTTTTTAAAAAGTACAGTGGTGCCTCGCTTAACGATTGCCTCGTTTAGCGATGTTTTCGCTTAACAATGTTTTTTTTTAAAGAATTCTATGCATCATTTAACAATGTTTCCTATGGGCAATTCTCGCTTAGCGATTTCGGGGCCATGCTTCACATAACGAATGCATTTTTAGGTCCCCTGTTTCGCTTAATGATGTCCGTTTTTTCAATTTTAAAAGTGTCTTAAAATGTTCAAAAAATGTTTTAAATGCTTGGAATCGTTAGTGCACCTTCTAAAACGTGAGCAAACTTAATTTGGCTTTGATCTGACTCTTTGTTATTTTTTGGTGAATTTTCTTCTCCAAAAAAATTCACAATAAATTAACGAAGACTCAGAAACTGTTTTAAATGCTTGGATTCGTTAGGGAACCTTGCAAAACCTGTGCAAACTTAGTTTGGCTTCGTTCTGAGTCTTCGTTAATTTTTTGTGAATTTTTTTCTCCTCCATAGGAAAGCATGGAGCTGTCAAATTTTGACAGCTGTCAAAAGTTGGTGGGGGAAAAAATTCAGCAAAGATTAACGAAAAGTCAGATCAAAGCCAAATTAAGTTTGCACCCGTTTTAGAAGGTGCACTAACGATTCCAAGCATTTAAAACAGTTTTTGAACCTTTTAAGACACACGTAAATTTGCAAAAATGGACATCGCAAAACCATTGAAATGCATTGAATAGGCTTCAATGCGTTCTAATGGAGGAAACATTGTATCGCTTAACGATGTTTCCTATGGGTTTTTTCGCTTAAGGATGGCAATCCGTGCCTATTGGAACGGATTAACCGGTTTTCAATGCATCTCTGTGGGAAAACGCGTTTCGCTTAACGATGTTTCCCATAGCGATGTGTGTTTTTTTACCAATTAACATTGTTAAGCGAGGCACCACTGTATAAAGCAGCACCTTACCTTAGCAGGCAGCCTCCTTGGATCACACTCTAACTGCCTGGGCAAAAGAGCTACAAAGAAGCAGCCCCGTCGCCACCTACAGTTAGCTATTTGAATTTCCCTCCCTTTTCTCCAGCCTTCGTAGGTCAAGGCACTACTGTACAGGTAAATGTTTAGTTAGAAGCAGCCATTCAACTGACCAAAGATATCATTTGCTTCAAAGATATTTGGAGCAGATGATAAGTATAGCTATTAAGTTCCTTTGAGTGTGCAAGATTTGTCCTTGATCAGATCTAGTAAGAAAATTGTTTATAGTGTTAATGGGAAGAGATAAGGTGGGCTGGATGAAAATGATGACAACACAGTGGAAGGAATCATGCATCTCAAAGGCCCTTTTTGAGCCTCCCACCACCATATCATTTTCCTAAAGCTTCATTGCTATGCTTCAGTGGCAAACAGAGAAAATACGATTGAAGCAAGCAAGTATTTGCTTTAAATGATATGTAGCAGTTTGCTTTCCAGTATGGGCAGCCAGCTGCTGCAGTGCAATGAATCATTTCAGCTTCTTTTCTTGGTAGTTAAATTTCAGAGGTGGACTGCAATACATGGGGCATCTTGGGTGAACAAAATTGGTTTCTAGAATTATTGAAATAGCCCACCATTCTAGAGAACTAAGAAAGAAACTCCTTCCCCAACTTCAAGGAAAAAAATAATAGGAAACACTGTCAATGTGTGGAATGTTATTTAATGAATTATTTTCTTCAAGTAATACTTAATGACAATGGGTCTATATCCTCACATCTAAGTTTAAATGCGTAAACCTAGATGTGGGGAAAGTGAATATAATGCACTGACATCACATTTGATATTAACATTTTCTAGACTAACACCATTCCTGCTGTCTCATTAGCCTTTCTGTTCACTGGTTAATCTCTTACTCTGCTACTGTAAAATTATAGCACAGGGTAAATGAGTCTCATGTCTCTGACTCTAATAGTGCCCTATGATGTGTGTTTGAAGAAATAGCTTCTTCTTTGTGGCCTCTGTGAAAGCACACAAGTGGGTTATTCTGCACCTGCGCAGGATGTTTCGTAACTTTCTAGAGCCTAAAAACCATTTTACAATGAGACATCCGCTCTTGGAGCGCAAGCTCCGCCCTCCAATGTTCTCCTCAGTTTCTTTTTTCCACCGCGTTGGAAAGACGTATAAGAACATACTAGAGCGAACAGTGAGTATTTCTTCATTAATAATATCTGTTTTTCATTATCTGAACTCTTAGATTATATTACAATTATTATTATTTACATCCCTTTATGATTATCACCTATTTTTCTCCCATAATACAACTTTTTTTAGCTTCCCGCGTTTCCCCCATGAACTGTTTCCCTCTTTTTTCTATTTTATGGCCCCTCAGGGACCGTTTAAAAGGTGCATTGTTTGTGAAAGAAAAATTCCTCTTACAGAGGGGCATGACAAATACATTTTTTTTGCCTTGGGGAAGAACATCAAATCTAGTCATGCCCTGAATGTAAGACGTTAACAAAACCTGCTATAAAACTTAGATTACCACTATTAAGATCGCACTTGTGGGAAAAATCCCTTCACCCACCCATGGAGACACCTAACTCACCGTGTCCAGAGCAAGTCCGGTCCATGTCAAGCCCGACAGCACGCTCAATATCGAGCCCAACTCCAACACCTGCAAAACAAAAAGATTAATCCAAACCTTCATCAAAATCAAGCTCCACAACTGCCTCCAAAACCCGGACTCATTCAGACAAGTCTACTAAAAAGAAGAAGGACAAGGACAAGTTATCTAAACCAAAAAAGCATTTGAAACCAATGAACATTGAACTACCGCAACCTATTCCTCCGTCACTTATCATGGAGGAATCTTCAAGAGAGGCTATAATTTCAATGTCGGATAAAGATGAGCATGCTCTAACCTTGACACAGGCTGCTCTATCAGTGGCTAGCCTTTCGCCTAGTGCAGGCCATTCACAGGCTGAGATCCATTCCAGCCCGGCCTCTGCCCTTTCCAGCCCTCATTCACTGGGGGGGCGGGCGGCGTTGAGCAAACAAGCCTCAGGTTTGGAATATCCCGACACTCCACATAAACATACTGAAAACAGAGACATATCTCTCCACCCCAATACGCCTATTGACACGAACACAAGTACTTCTATCCGGAACATCGACAATATTTCCTGACACCTGTCTACCATCACAGGCACCAATATTACGACCTATATTATCCAGGCATGTACCAGGATGTTATGCAGTAAGAACAAGCAAGGAGAGTACGATATGCCTCACCACTGAGACAGTCAATGTCGAGGTCATCATCTCTGGCAACCTGACATCACCGATCACAACACT